TAATGTAACAAAGTAGAAATACTTTGTTACTGTACTTAAGTAGAATTTCGACGTATCTTTACTTTACTTCGTTATTTACATTTCTAGCGACTTTCACTTTTACGCCACTACATTTCCTCAATAAAATGTGTACTTTTACTTCAATACATTTCCCTTAACCATCTTAGTTACTCATTCCTACAATATAAAATTAGAAGAATTCTAATTGGGCAAGTCCAGTTTGTTCTCCCAGTCTGTGACTTCACACGGCCCCTTCTCTCTCCCTCACTGACACTCTCACTCACAAACCCAGCCTCTCCCCCACCGCTTGTGTAAAAACTGTGGTTTCTGCTGTGAACAAGCTAGATGCAGATATCAATGGTTACAAAAGGTCTTTGTTGACTCACAGTGGAGCCACTGTAAATTCCTGACAGGTATGAAAATGACAGTAGCTGCTAAAAAGAAGAGGTTTGGTGTTCTCCAGGATATTAACTGGTTAGATTGCAAGGTGAAGTTGTTGGGCCACAAGTCTTCCCATTAAAGAACACGGAAACATATATCCAGTTTAGGGTGCTTTATTTGCTGTGTTTCTTCTGGTATTTACACACAGCAGTAAACCAGTAAAGCAGAAACAAGCTTGAACAACAAGGCTGCGTCTGTGTCAGGAGCGAGAAAACAGAGTGATGCGTTCACTAGCGTTAGAACAGCCACGGTGGATTCAAGAGCATAGGAACTATTTTATTCAGAAAGAAACAAACCATAACCAAGCAGAACCGAGCTCAGTAAACAAGCCAACACAACAATGTGAGCTTTCTAACAGCTTTGTTAATAAAGGTTAATTAAGGTTGAATACTTCAACAAAATCAGATTTTTTTTAAAGCTCTATCTTTCATTGTTCAGTTCAAACTTTCCAAGTTTTTGTCACTGGATATTACACCCAATAGATGTTGTTTAGGAAATTCTAACCATTCACTTTTACTTAATACGCTTACTTTAAGTACATTTTGTATGAGAAATTTACTTTTGATGCTTAACATTAAATGTCAGATACTTTAAGACTTTTGCTTAAGTAATAATTTAAAAGGAGACTTTAACTTTTACCAAAGTAATTTTATGGTAAGATACTTGTACTTTCACTGAAGTATCACTTTGAGGTACTTTATACAAAACTGCTTTCATGATGTTTTATAGTATAAAGAGCTGTATGATAAGCTGTGTGTGCAGCCTTTCCATTAAATAATCTGTAATTTTTGCCCACTTCCTCGCAATTACACTGCACTAGTTGCACATTTGGTAGATAAGTGAACACTTTTGTCTTTATCATCATCATCATCATCAACTTTATTTATAAAGCGCTTTAACACCAGCCGCAGCTGAAACAAAGTGCTGAACATCAGTAAAAGAAGGCATAAAAATAAAGTTATAAAGCTGAAAATAATAAATTCAAAACTCAATTTAAAACAATAAAACGACGAGTTGAACAGATAAAACAAATACCAATAAAAATGAAGTAAAATCAAGTCTCGGTTGGGTTGAATGAGTAGAAATGAGTTTTCAGACAGGTTTTAAAAATGGACAGTGACTAGTTAACTAGTCAACATTTAGGTGCATTAGTCAACTACTTTACTTTTGTGTCACATTAGTTAACTAGTAAGGCCAAAAAAAAAAATCAATAGTCATCTTGTAAGACCAACTTTAGTTGCATTTGTATGACTAAGTTGTCTCCCCCATAAAATTTTGAATAAAGAAAATGGGATTTCCTGCACTTTGGTGACATCTACGTTTACCTATTTGTAAACACTCCGCTTCTGTCAAGCATCTCACCCAAGACATTTCAATTTTTTACACTATTATTAATTAAGCATTGCACAATCATAACATTATATGTTTGCTGGAGGAGCTCCATGGCTGCGCCTGCTAATCACCATACAATTCTGTGTAAATTGTGTAGTGTCAAATAAACTGAGATGTGGACGTTGGTAGAAAAGTATTTGCATGAAACACTGTCACTTTTGAGACTGGCGATTTAGGATTGACGCAGTCGGTCCTAGACGCAACTCAAACTAGCCATTAGCTCATCAGAATCAGACTCTTGTTTCTCAGACAGTTGCTGGAACTGTTTTGCAGTCTGCATGTTGGTCCCATGGGTATGACACCCCTGGGATGCTCAATTGTATTACACCTTGCAGAGAGAGGGCTGCTTCATATTTAACACGCTGATGACATCACAGCCACCAGAGTGAAGATTCACGCTTAATTTAAGCTGAGGTGTGAATAGCACTGACACACAACAGAACAACAACAACAATATAAAATAATGATAGGACCCTGTGTCACTGCTTCTCTTAAACACTGTAACATATTGTGCTCAGGCGGAGGCCTTGATGGATGAAACCCTACACCGAGACAATAACTTGTTTTCCTTTTAGGTCAAACATCCCCTCGAGCTTTCATTGTTTCCCAGCACCGTCTCCCCCACTTTCTTATTGCTGTGCAAAGAGTACATTTCCTACAGCGTGCAGGAAATGCTTCTGCCCTTCAGTAGCTTTATGTCTAAATTTAGAGCCCCCTCCGTCCAGCTGTCACAGTCAGGGGCGGCCTGTCGGGTGCTCAGGAAATCGGCTCGAAGCGTGTTGAAGTCAGGAGAACTTCTGTAAGCTCTGGGTGTGCTCAGCTGACATAAAAAAAATTAAAAATAAAAATAAAAACACGCTCTGAAACAGAGCATCTACAGTATAAATAAACATCTGGCATTCAGGAAGTGCAAATGGGGTTGAGGAATTGATGACGTGCCACGTTTGTTTCAGTCTTTTTCAAAACAAGTTACTTCATTTTAAAGGTTCCTCCGAGACATTTCAGACTTGGATCGTCTCGCGGTGAGAAATATTAGAGTTGTGGCTGTAAATTAACTGTATGTGTTGGGAGACTCTCAGCTACATCGAATCTGAGCTCAACATCTGTACAACTGACTGACTTTATGTGCTAGCTGATGTGAAGTAGCTGTGGTGTCCATCTTGATTTGGACTGAATCCAAAAGTTAAAGCGTTGTACATGTATATCCAGTTACTTTATAAAGATTTCATTATTTTGCTAACAGACAAACAAGTTTAACTTCAACAGTTAATGCTAAAATTTGAAGTATCTCACACTATGTAGTATGTTGAGTAGGTGTTGTGAATGACTCTCAGCTACTACCACACCAGGTTTTAGCCAATTTTCTTAAATTTGACTAGATTATAATCATTTCTGTTTTCTGAGGTGTGTTGGCTGTAGCAGACATTATACAAGGAGTTGGCCTAAAAAGTTAATCAGCTGTAGATGTACATTCAATGATTATTTCCTGAAAGATTCACTCAAATCTGTCCAGTTGTTCATGAGATATTTTGTTAATAGACAGACAAGGTTCACTCCATAAGTAATGGCGTTATTTTAAAGATAAGTCTTGCACAATCTGTTAGCGCTTAGAATGTGTGGCGTGGATATATCTCAGCTGCTATCATGCCAAATTTTAGACCAGTATCTGTAATATATTGGTTGAAATAATTATTTTTACGTTTTTTTTTAAGGTCAGCTGGCCGTGGCAGCCATCTTGAATCCATCGAAATCTCTGCTAAAGTTTATCAGGTGGTAACGTTCTTTCCCACTTTGCTCTCCCATCTCAAAAACATGTTTTATCCAGTGATGAAATCTGTTGCAAGCAATAATTCAATGAAAATCCAAATCCCATCTCACAGTCGAGCACAACATGCTCCGTGTCTGTTTAATTGTGAAACGTGCCCATCTGACTGTCTATTTGCTCCTTTATTGACTCCGATCCTGACAGGCCTCCTGCCCCTCGCTCCTCTTCTAATTTGATTTTGTTCACTAAGACGGAAATGACCACAGGCGAGTGCCACACGTGGTTTGTGTTCCAGTTTCTCTAACGTGCCTTGTCAGGTCGTTGTGGACAGAATCCCGCTTCTCACATTTAATGTGAATTCTTCTACAGTTCCTTTTGAGGAGTTGTTAAAATACTAAAAGAGTTGACTAATGTTTGAAATGAAAATACTAGATAATGCGTAAACTCTGAGTGCAAATCAAAAGTCGGAATTATTTGAACTAGTTTTTTAGTAGTTAGCAGTGAAAATGAAAACCATTTGTGCACTGGTTCAAATGCACGAGTACTATTAAGATGCATACTGCTTACAGCTACAAAATAAATCATGTTTAAAATGCCTGTTATACCTTGATTAAATGAAGAGTTCAGAGATTTTTGTGGAGAAATTACCATAGCCACTAATAACTTTGTGGCAGTACTGTACATCAAAGCCAAAGGTCACAACAGATTAAAAAAATACTATATATTATATAATATCATAGCTTTTTTTTTTTTTTACAGTTTATATTACTGAGAACTGCACAGTCACTGTTAAACTTATTGAATTGTCATTTCTTATCTTAAACCTACATTCACAAATGAAACTAGCTAAAAATGCTTATTTGCTCAATGCGTTTCTCCACAAAGTTTTAAATGAGGATCTCGCTCGATCTGCTGGTGCTCAGAGTAGGTGCTGAGGATGACCCTCAGCTACTTCCACCCCAAATTTCAGCTCAATATCTGTAAACCTGACCGAGTGATGGTCATTTATCCGCTTTTGTTAAGTTGTAGCAGCCCTCTTGAATCAAGTTGACTCCTAAAGTTAATCAGCTTTAAATGAAAGTTTGAATAAAATAATGTAGTTCATGAGATATTTTGCTAACAGACTAATTGTGCATGTCAGTTTCCAAACACGGCCTAGCTCTGATTAGCTTTTGGCTAGTATTGAAGTCAAACAAACTGAGGTTGTTTTCAGAAAAATAGGCAGCTTTCCCAAAAAAAAAAAAAAAAAAAAAAAAACTTAAAAATTGAATTATCCCTTTAATACAGGGAACCGTTCATGTCATTTATTAAATATTGACTCGTACCTGCAGCAGTTTCCAACTAATGCCATCCTCTGGCGCCATCTTGTGGCTTTTAGGTCAAAACGTCACTTCCAGCTGAGGTCAGAGGTCACCGCTCCAAAACAACATGGCGGCTTCCGGTAAAGCTACGTTGGTGCTGAAGACTGTGAAGACAATAGCGGTTCAGTTTTGTCCCTTTGAGTCCAATGTCCGGTCCACACGGTAAGAACGGTTTATTAAATGTTGCTGCTGTGTTTGAGCATCCTTGTGGGGAGTTTTGAAATGATTTGGCGGCTGTTAGCGACAAAAACCGGCAGTCGTCTCTGGACAACCTCTAACGATGGAGCTCCTTATGAAAGCCTGTTTTTTTGCTCAGGTTTATGTGAATGGAAAAAATGGAAATAATCTGACTGGACAGTGATTAGGATTTTTTTGTCTGGATAGTAACTAGTTGTTTCTACTGATAGGTATGTCATCAAGGAAAATATAGCAATTGAACATTTACCTGCTTCTAGCTAACATTTTGCTAGTTAGTGCCATTACCATTTAGCTTAATGTGTGCTATCTTTAACTTAAGCACTCAGCGTTCACACTGAATTTTCACAATAAACACAACTTTTGTAGTATGTGTTTGAAATATGTTGTCACTTTAAATACAAAGGGGTTCAGTTTAATAGACTAAAAAGCAGCTTAAACCACAAACCCCTCATTATCTTCAGTTCACTATTTATTTCTGTGTTCAGGACCTTCCTAGCAGGGAAAATGTTAATTTTTCTGCTGTCGTTAAGAAAAATCTCAATCATTTATCATCTATAAACAATTCATTTTGTTTATATAGCGCCAAGTCACAACAGAAGTCATCTCAGGGCACTGAACAGAAATCCATATAAAAATAAGTTAACAGAAACATTCATATATAAAAATAATATTTTAACACTATCTGGGTTAAAAGTAACAGAAACAGATAGATGATAAAAAATATGGAACAATAGTATCTTCATATTAATATTAACTTAATGAGGACGGTAATATTAATGTAATTAATATATAGTAATTTTAATATATATACATTATTCTAAGTTTAGATGTGTCTATCTTAATTGGCTTGTTTTTTTAAGACATGCTAAAACATTATGTTTAGTTAATTTCTAGCTGTTTTATTTTAAGATTAAAATCAACAATAAACTAGATGTTCTACACACATTTAAATAATAAAAAATAAGGATGGGACTAAATCATAAGTACACTTAAGAGGATAAATATTGCCTGGTTCCAGCATTTATTTATTTTTTTACCATTTATTATTTACTTTGGCAGCCTAATAAGTTGATCTTTCCACCGTCTATGGTGCAGAAAATAAATGATTAGACTCTCTTCTAAATTAAATCTAGTTTATTAAAACTTAAATAAATGTCGATTGTTTTCCTAAAAAATGTAGGTTCGTTAAACCCAGAGGACCTGATGTGACAAAACTTAAAGTTGAGCTCATTTATCATTTTTATTTCCATTTTTTATTGTACCTGCTTTGTCTTAAAATAAATCACAGCGGTTAACTGAGCGGTTTGTTTTGGCCCACAGGGAGTTTCTGGCCTTGGTCAGCTCTGATAAGGTCCGATCTACCAACATGAACTGTGAGGTGACGTGGACGGTGAAACACGACAAGTCTGAACCTGTCATCGATGTAACTTACGGTGAGGATGGTGTGACATGTTTGTCACAATCTCCGTTTGGGTTGTCAGATTTGACAATCGGTAAAAGACGGATCGTGGAACAAAACATCTTTCATTTGATAATGTTCTGATTTTCTCTGCTCTGGGAAAACTCAAAATAGTTAAAATAATGAAAACGGATTTTAGTGTGTCACTTAAAATTAAAATTTAATGTATAGAGGCAACAAGGTTGAAAGAGTTGGCTGCAGCCGCTGTGGATTAACCCATCAGTAACAACAGGTTGTCTGAGGGCTCATTTCTTTTTTCACACACCTTCATGCTGACAGGAGGAGAAACGTGCAACAATCATTTCGTTCAGCACAAAATTTAAGATACGCTTTACTCTGGTTTTTAAAATGTTGCACACTAAAGGCTTTCTTTATAAATTCTATTTTATGACTTGCTTAAATGTTCCTCTGCCTGAAGTTTGGGCTTCAACTAAGAAACTCCCATAATCTAATAAAGTCTCATAAAGTGTGGCTATAAAATGTCCCCCGGGCGCTTTCAATAGCTGCCCACTGCACCACCTGGTGGTGGATGGGTTAAATGCAGAGACTAATTTCGCCATTGTATGGAAACATACAGTGCTGACATTGTGATGACATTATTATTATTATTATTATTATAATGCGTAATGAGACTAGGTCTGATAAGAGCAAAAAATAATAATAATCACCGTCCGTTTTGCTTCAAATGCAGCACATGTGATAGGAACAAAGTGGGTGTTTAGTAGTTTTATGATGATGCCAATTATTTTTTTTATCCTCCAGCTGATATCAGTCTTGTGGTGAGAGCCGAGCATTTACAAGAAATAGAAATGTTTGCCATAAGTCAGCAGTGTCTCGTCGTGTGACTCAGAGCTGTTTTGTGCTCCTTCCACTGTGCCAGTTTGAGTCATAGTATTTGTTGATTAATTAATTTTTTTGTGATGGCAGCTGATGGAGAGAAGCTGCTGATGAAGGGAGCGCATCTGACCTGCCAGGAGATGAAGAGTGCATTTGTGTCCCGCTGCGAAGAAAAGAACCCGCAGATTAAATCTGCAGCAGCTAAATGATCATTCCTGTATGAATATGTTCTTATTTATCTGTGTCAGATATGTCCAATAAAACAATATCTTTGATTTTACATGGTGGTCCTTGTGGCTTCTTTTTGGTGACTTACCTTAGAGCGTGTCTTTGAATAATGTGTCATTTTTGGGTTTAATAAAAGGCTCTTCCATGAGAACATTATGCAATTTTTGACGTTTGACACAGATTAGATGCAGCGTTACTAAAAGGGGAAACAATCTTTGACCCAGTTGAAGATAAACTACATCATTTCTGCTTTTTACCATCTGTTTCATTAACATCCTTAATAGATGGTGATCTCCACGGTTTACACCCAAACCAGTGGGTTTATTTGAGCCTTCCTTCAACAAGGCTTCAATTCAATTATAAATTACGTTATAAACAGAAAATAAAGACTTGTGTTTTTTTTAACAGGGTGATGAAGACACATTTTTCTCTAGTTTATTTCGGTGGTATTTCACTTAAAAGTGATCACACGCTGTCTTTTCTGCCAGAGACCCTCTTATGAACTAAAAAGATATGGTGAAGATGTTTCTCAGCTACGACAGCTTCAGCTTAATATCTGTAAAAAAAAAGAAAGAAAACAAACTGACAAACAAAGAGCCTTGAATCCTTAAATGTCGCCAATTTTATGTTGGCTAACACCAAATAGCAATGAGATATTGGTTGAGTTTACTTCAAAAGTAAATCAGGAGAAGATTTATATGCAGTGATTACTTTCTGAGACATTCATTAAAATCCATCCATTGGTTCGTGGGATATTTTGCTAACAGACAGGCAGATTTGACTCCAATTTGTAGAGGCAAAGTTTTAAACGGCTCTCACTTGAGCAGTTTGCTCTCAGAGTCTAGGTTTGCAATGACTCACAGCTACTACACCCAGTTTTTGCTCGGTAGCTGTGAAACAGGCATTTTTTGTGTTGATTAGGTTGCTTAGCTGTGGCAGCCATCTTGAACTGGGTCGACCCCAATGATGTACATCCACTGACTACTTTCTGTGAGTGTCATCCAAATCAACCCAGTGGTTTGTGAGATATTTCGCTGACAGCACATGGACACAGACAAAAACTTTTATTTTTACACCCATCACTTTTTCAACAGCTCCATGTTTACTTTGCTCCACACCCGGGTTTTCTTACGTGAATTACTGAGCATGAACTTTGATGTTTTGAACAACTTTGGCTATGGCTGCTTCAGAAACCATCTTAGCACCAGCAAACTGTTGGTCCACTATATGAGTGCTGCTTGTTGGACTGAGTTTGTTGTGGCTCTTCGGGCTGATGAAGTCCTTTGGATGAAGGACGAAACGTCTCAACAACAAAAGAAACCATCTAGATGAACTGACTGAACTTTGTTGGATTTTTTAAATCTGGATTATTGAGCATGAATTTTGATATCTTATACTTTACTTTATGCCATATTTTAACCACTATTTATTCTAAACTTATTCATTTTGCTAATATTTGAGATTGTATTTCTTGTTTTGCCTATCCCTTCTATCATGATTTTAATCATGTTTATATACATATTATTGTTTTTTTTTTTCCAGTCTTTCAGTATATCCCTTAAATTCCTGTCTATTCACAATAAACCTTCTGGCATTCCGTTGTATTATTGAGATGTGGGTTTATCACCCAACGTTCTTGGTCTCCCATCTATTTCCAGCCCTTTCTTAATGTTTTCCCATAACACCTCTTGTCTGCACCCGTTGCTATTATTTTAATATTCTCTGTTCTGTGTTTAGCCTGATCTGTACAGTTGATGACATATATGAAATGAGATTTTTTTTACACACACAATGTAATGTTTTCCTCTGCTTGCAGTTTGGTTTGTTGTGAGCCTTGACTCTGTCTGGCCTGCTTCTCTTTTCTTTTGTCCTTGAACACTCCCAACTGCTTCAACGTGTCTTATATTTGTAGCCATTTAGATTTGTTGGATTTCTCGCCTCACATTTCCCAGAGTTAACTGTGTTGACCTCCACAGTTACAGCACTTTTCGTCTTCTCTACCTTCATCTATTCTCTGCTTCACACCACCACCATGCGTCCATATCTCTGACATTTGTAGCACCTTTCAACCTTTATTTAAACATGTTAATCCTATTGAGCCTCGGGGACTCATTTACACTGAAGTGGTGGAGGAATAGACGTCCTGACTGGGAAACCTGTATGCTATTTTAATCTTATCTGACATAACTGAGAACTCTTAATATTGACTTTTTCACTATCAACCGTTTTCATGAATCTCTTTAAACTGTTCACCTTAACTCCAATAATGTTTTGTTTGATTTTTTTCCCCAATCCTCCTCCACTGGTATTAATCACTCCCTTCAGTACTTTGTTTTCTCCTATAATGTTTTTCTGTATCGCCACCTTTTTACAGATACTTCAATATGTAATGCTTTAACTTTTTGTTCTTCAGTTTAAAAGATCCGTTAAGTTTCCATCCCTCAACCCATTCACCATTTCTTCTATTTTCTCGTTTTTTTATTTATTTATTTATTTAGGTAATGGGCTTACGTATCACTGTTCAATCTGAGAATTATTTTAAATTCTTCCCTCACTACTTTCCTACGAATTACTCATTCTTGATCCAAATTAATGGATAATTGGGGATATAATAAACATTGAGGGGCCGAGATGGGGTAGAGGCAGGGCAGCCGACCTGGGACCCAAAAACCCCAGGCTCGATCCCCAGCCATTCCCACATCATGGTGTCCCTGAGCAAGAGATCCAAACCCCAATTGCTCCCCAGGCACCCACATAGCCTCCCACAGCCCCACCTGGGTGCATCCCAGGTGCGATGGGTCAATGTAGAGAACTAATTTCATACAATGATGACAATACATCGCTTTACTATTTGCCTCCAATTCTCATTTACTTCCTTGACCATCTGATACGTCCCACCTTCCTTCATATGCCACTTTCTCAACCTCTTCCTCTCTTTACCTGTGTCCAATCTTCTATAATGTAACATCATATCCTCCTCGCTTTCTACCCACATTCCAGCTTATGCCAATCGTCCAGTCCAAACTCCACAAATATCCATCCCAAAGTTGTCTGAATTCAACCCCAACCACATCACAACAGAAAACCCAGAATCCCCGTCTGGTGCTCTTCCCTCACCTGGGTCTAGTTAGTTTAATTGTTTTTCACCTGTCTTCTGTTAATTATTAGATGTCTAACTAAATTCAAGCTAATGCCTAGTTTTCTTTGTCGACTGCCATATTTTTGTGATGTCAAAGTGATTCAAATTTCTTTTGACCCACTTTTTTTTTGTAGATGTTTATCTTGCACATTGAAATTGTCCATTTTTATAATTAAGTCTATATTTTTGTCTGTCAGTCCCACTTTAAAGTACTTTGCACATAGAAAGCTAAAAAAATTACTGCTTTTCACATCAGTCGACTTTTAAAAAAATCAACAGATGCCATTTTGCTACTGATGCTAGTTTTGCAATGCAAAATTCGAGCATCCTTAGGAGGCGGGATCTAAACGAGGGTCGCGTGACGTAGCACGCTGTGATTGGTTCCTACATCGCCTCCAAAAGCAGCGCCGGCCCTTTAAAAGCAGCGGGAGCGGAGGCGACATTAGTTCGGCTCAGGCTCAGAGACTGTCAGCGGGTTGTTCTGGTGGATATCGTCGAAACAAAACCTTCCAAGATGGTTGAGAAGTTTGTTGGAACATGGAAGATGATTTCCAGCGAGAACTTTGACGAGTACATGAAAGCTCTTGGTAAGGTTTTAATAAGAATGTTAAGTGCTTAAATTAAGCTGACTTTTTCAAGTTTTCAACCATTTTTGTGTATGGAATTGGAGCACATTAAGTGAAGGGTTTTTTTTAAAAACATGTTTGCTTATTAAGCATTATAAGTAGCTTGTGTTTGGGTGGATTAAAACACTTGTTAATGTGTTCTTTCTTCCCGCGCTGCAGGTGTGGGATTTGCGACCCGCCAGGTGGGGAACCGAACCAAACCCAACTTCGTCCTGAGCCTGGACGACCAGGGAACCATTTGCATGAAGTCTCAAAGCACCTTCAAGACCACCGAGGTCAAGTTCAAGCTAAACGAGCCTTTTGATGAGACCACTGCAGATGACAGGAAGACCAGGGTTGGTTTGATTTGATGAGCAGAAGACTAATGTGAATTATGATCTGACACTTTGTGCAGGAATAAACACTTTGTCCTTGATTTTTTTTTTTTTTTTTTTTTTTTTTTTCTGTCCTGCAGAGTGTGGTGACACTGGAAAATGGCAAGCTGGTGCAGAAACAGAGCTGGGAGGGAAAAGAAACTTGTATTGAGAGGGACATATCTGATGGCAAATTGATAGCGGTAAGATTTAACTTGGATCAGAGTTCTTCAAATTGGAGTTTCTTAAATTTCCATGCGACTAACTTGTAAACCTGAAGCCACAAGCTGCAACACCTGTCTTAACTCGGATGGTTCTTGTTCCCCCCACAGAGATGCATTATGGGAGATGTGGTTGCAGTGAGGATGTACGTGAAGGAAGAGTGACCCTTCATTACTGAAGCACTGCTGGATGACGGGCTCAGTTCAATGAGCGTAAACCCAAAGTGAAGGAGCGGCTTGTTCCACTCTGTACTCTTTAACCTCTGTTGCCAAAGTCAGATTTTTTGTACCTCTTGTCTTCTGCAGATCTGCTTGAATTGTTGTGAATTTGAATTAAAAGTGCATGCAGACGAGCTGAAGTTTGTCTTGAGTAAATTGATGATCTTGAAGTGTCACAAAACGAGGTCCTGATTTTTCATGGCTTAAACTTTTTCCCTAGCTTTTGCAAAACTTCACATTTTGTCCATCTGCATGGTCTCGAGGGTTAACGGTCTAAGGAGAGAATTTTTTTTTTTTTTTTTTTTTTTGGAAAGCAGCATAAACTCTATAAACAGCCACTCTTACCCTTTTGGCTTCTCGAGCCAGCAATCACTTTTCCCATGTCAGGAAGGGGAGTTTCTGGTACTGATTGAACAAGATGACCAAAACAGCTGAACGTGATGGGACTGAGCCAAATCTCTCTGTTCAAGCTGGACAATAGAACATTAAAGGATGTGCTCTGTATTGGGGGAATTAAGGCCAAGAACATTGCAGAACTGAAGTTCAAGCTGTTCCAAAAAAAAAAAAAAAACCCTGCAAATTTGGGAAGCGTTTTTAATCTGAATTGAAAGACCAAATAAAATCTAAACTATTTCTCTGCAATAAACGGTTTGCTTTAAAATAAACTAAGGCTTGTGACCTGAACTTTGAAACGGTTTAAAAAAAAAAAAAAAAAAATCCATGCACATACTAAAATAACAAATGCCAGGGATTTTTATTTTTTATTAAACTTTGACATCCAGCTCTTTAGGGCTGCAGATTGTGTGAAAGCACATCTGCTGTGGATTGACTTACAGGTGCCCTGCTCAAAAGTCAACATGTCCGCATCATCACTGTTTGGATAACTGCAGGGAACGGAGGCCAGTCTCCACCTTGGAGTTGTATCTTGTCCTCAGACAAGACACACTAAAATACTTGAGTGTGGACACTAATGCATCAAATTAAAGTTGAGACTTTAACAATCTGTAATAAGACCAAAAGGGAGGACTTTCAGAATTCTTTGCTGCTCTTGGATAAAAACTTTACAGATATTCTAAGAGGCAATTAGGAAATATGCAGAAAGGAAAAACTGTAGGAGTGACCAAGTATGAAAAAACTTGCGCTGTGAGAATTTAGCTCCCTCTAGAACATCTGATGTAGAGAAATACATAAAATAAAGCTGGGCTTTGTCATTTTAAATTTTACCTTTTTGAAAAGATGCACAGTAATTCACAAAGTCCAAAAACAAGTAGGAACATGAATCGAACACCACTGATAAAGACAAATCATACATCAACATGACACCTTCAATTAATTTTTAAATTAAAAGATCAAGACATGTCCTCACTCGTTCACATTTCCAAGTACAGAATGGCCACAATGACCAGTCCGTTCTGATAAAGGGTTAAAGGGTTCACGTGGGATAATTTTGGCCTCTGACACAAAACATGTCAGAGAAAATCCATGTTTGGAGAAGTTTACCTGCATGTGTTCTCACAGCCGATAGAGGACTACACCTGCTCGATGCAGGGCTTGGTCTGTGTCATGAAACTTCAGAGGAACAAACTCACATCCTAATCACAACATCTGGGAAGCTCTACTTGAGCTGTAGTGTCGACACCCTTCCTCTGCTTGTCCTTCGCCTGTTCTCAGCTTAAACACAAACACCTTTCATGTTCAAGTGCTTTAACGAGGCTAAACATCCAAGATATACTGAACAGCCTTTAGCTATATGACCTCTGACTCCTCATGGACAACCAGTGCATAAAACGCTGCTGTATTGGGCCCTGTTTACATGACACTGTGAGTGAAACCGTAGTATTTCTGCTGCGTTTCAGCTGTTCTACATGAAAGCAGCAGCCATTTTCTATAAGACCAAAGCTTTGTGAATGCAGGTCTCAAAGTGGAGGAACTTAGAAACACTTCAGCGTAGGGCTGTTATTTCTAACCCATGTCCCGCGCCCATAGGCTAAAATAATGTGCTAGATGGGTGGGCCGTGTCGGTCTCAGGCTGTGATGTGGTTTTATGAATCATACAGCATAAATAAAACTAAATAAGAATGCACAATATAAAAAATTTTAATCTACTTGTAGAGGAGGAGGCAGGTACGGCTGCTTAAAAGTGGTAAAAAAGAAAAAGTTTAGCTCAGATGGATCAGCTGATCACCGGCTGCGCACGTCTCCGCACCTGGTGTCATCCGTGGTGAAGGAAGTTTGGATCTACAAAAGCCGAAGCAAGCTCAATTAAAATAGCCTTGTTCTATATTTTTTCAAATAATGTTACCCTAAAAATATTTTTGTTCATCTGTATAATAGCCCATCTTTAGAGTTGATTGTTTAGGCTATTCATTTTTGTATGTTAATATCCATTTGGTCAAACAAGAAATATTATATCTGTCTTTCTTTGAAATATGTTTTTAAAATATCGTCTCAAACTGATTTGCTTACAAAAGCAGTAAAAGCTTAATTAAAAAAAGTGTTTTTTTGTTTTTTTTTTCGGGTTCGGGCCTGTAATTACAGTTAAATGATCGGGTCTAGTCAGGTTCGGAAAAAAACCTACGGGCTCAGGCTAGATTTTTTTAGGCCTGAATGCAACTCTACTTCAGTGTGAAATTGTGCTGTTTCTGTGCTTGTGTAAGTAGAGAAACAAGAGTGACAATGGCAGTGAGCAGAGTGCTGTTTGTGCTGATCACCCTTTTCAATGTATAGGAGCAACCCAACCTCATCCTTGGTCCAAATGGCCGCATGTGTATTCACCATTTTGGATGTAACTGTTTTAATGCTAGGGACTGATGCGCACATGTGTGTCTTTGAAATACAACAATCACAGTGACCTGGCATGGAAACTACCGTACATGACCATTCATGCTCCTTAGGGGAAAAATCAACCACATTATTTACAAGATTAAAGTCTGAATTCTGAGATTAATATCAGAATTCAGACTTTTTACTCAGAATTAAGAAAAAAAATTACACTGTGGCCCTAATAATCCTCTTCCATAGTTTTTGCTCTTTACATCCAAACTAAAACGATTCTGTAGGATGAGATGAAAGTGACTGGGAGAGAAAAACATAATTTTTCCAGGTAAAGTTTAACTGCATCTCAATAGATTTTTACAGAGGCCCTCAGTTATAAAAGTGGAGCATCATCTAGTGGGCTAACATAAAACTTGAAAGTTTAGTAGTTAAGAGCCATCCATCGATAAAAATTATAATAATAAAAAAAAACATTACTAAGGGGAATGCATTATTTTATGTTTTGATAAATATGGAATGGGAATGCTATAAATATGTGAACACTGTCATATAAACCTTTACGTCTTCATTAGTTTCGTATTTTCCATCCAGAATATTATAATAATTCTGCTAAAGGTGACCCTTGTTGTTAAAAGCTAGCTGCTTTTGCTGCTGTTTGGGCTTACAAATACTCAAAAAATTACATGTAAATAACTGCTTAATGTGAGAATAACAGTAATGTAAAGGTTTATAAAGTACCACTTGCACAAATGGCTACTAAATTTTTAGGACTGGAGTTTTTTTAAAGATGACAGGTCTTGGCGCCACTCGGGCTAGCAGTTAGCTTATCATTCTAGTCAAACAAACTTTATTTCTCCAAACTGTGATTGTTTACAGTAAGTTATTTATTGCTCGTTACTTACCCCTGGCAGCACGATGGTTTAATGGTCAGCACTGATGCCTCACAGCAAGAAGGCCCTGGGTTCAATCCCTGGTTTGGACCTGGTGTCTTGTATGGAGTTTGCATGTTCTCTTTTCTCCCACAGTCCAAAAACATGTATGTTAGGCTGCCTTCAGTTCCAGGGATCCCCTGCAAAAAAAATCTGTGATCTCAGTGGGATTTGCCTGGTTAAATAAAAGTTAATAAAAAAAATGGATAATTATACACAGTTAAAAATATCGAACTGTCTTCATTATAAGTTTTTATTGATTTTTTTTAACGTGTTTATCACTGCCTGAGAATGAGTTGCATCTAATTTTTACTTGTTCTATGTTTCAGGGAGGCAAACAATGTTTGAATGCACGTTGATTAAGTAATGATGCTCCAGTTTGTCAAAGTGAAAATGTTTCCATCACAGTAATGTAATCTGCAAAGCAGAGAGCAGGGGTGAAATTTGTTCTTGTTCATTTTCACATCAGAAGAAAGAAAGATTTTATTTTTTCGACTGTGTGTTTTTGATGCCTGATTAGTAAAATAACTCAGTGGAAATTGACATACCAGTAAACAAATACATATTTTTCTTCATACGGTTTCATTTGTCCCCCCCCCAAAAAAAGTCTTAAGCTTCTTCATAAAGGCTTTACTGGTCAAGTTAAAATCAAAAATCCAAAACGTGACCACCGTTTTCAACAATAAACTGCGCCTTGACATTTAAAGACAACTTAAAGTGTTGCAGTAACAAAGTACTAATAACAAAAAGTTGACGTTCCTTGCAACTTTGCATCAACCTTCTCCCGATGACTTGCTATGAAATCTCCACGACTTTGACTTTTACGGAAAACTCAGCAGAAATTCCTGCTCCCGTTTAACGTTCTTGAATTTCTTTTGGGGTGGGGTTGACCCCGAGGTCAGCCTCCACCTGCGCTCTTTTCTTTGAAGCTTGTCTCCGCGTTCACTCAAAAACACATGATCTCAGCTTGGCTCTGCAGGATCCATATGGCACCTGGCCTCATACCAGACCGGCGGGGCTGCCGGGGAGGCTGGTTGCCAAGCAACAAGACTTGATCCATGCAATCCAGAAATAAAGACGACTACATTTTGACTTCAACAACTGAGTGTTACACCAGCTGCAAACTGTCTCTTTGCTCTCTGCTTTCCTTACACACACACCTTCATCCTGACTAAAATACTTGCAGATTTCCTCCAGGCTAGGCTAATGGCTCGCTTTATATGCATTTCTGGGCTTAAAACAAATCCCAATGTAATTTAAAAAAACCATACTGGTGGGAAAGAGCGTTACATTAGCATCCTGATGCATGCTCAATAATCCAGGTAGATAAATCTAACAAGGTTAAGTCAAGTCCTCTGGACAGATTCTTCTTGTTGAAACGTTTCATCTTTTATCCTAAAGACTTCTTCAGTCTGAGGAGCTGCAATAAAGTCTGT